CAAATGGCATTAGCATTTTACTGAAGTCAAGATCAAGCTTTGGCTCTTTTGCCACGGGAGGTTTTCGTCTTCCCTAGGCCTCGCATTAGGACATCTGTGTTACTGTTTGACAGAGGTACCCTCCCTAATCAGACTTTTCATGGGCACTGTCCCTGGACCGTGTCGCACCGGTCCGCCCACGTGCACTGGGACCTGGCACTTGGTTCCAGAAGCAAAAACCCTTCAGGGCTTCGCTCCCCCACCTCGTCAGGTCAGTGGATAAAAATACAAGAGTACTTGAAATAAGAGCTTTTTCGGAGAGATCCCCCTCCACCCGCCGGCGGGCTTTGCGCCCCAGATAGATACTCTTTGTACTGCCTTGTCTCCTCCCCTTAAATGCAGTCTCTGAAGCTGCAGCTGCAGCTCAGCCCCTTGCTAACTGCTTTCTGTTCTGGGGGTAGAGGCTCCCGTCCCCGTTTCTGCCTCCTTTGTACGTCCAAACGCAACCTCAGCATTTCCTGCGGCCACTGCAGCTACTGCCTGCTCTTTTCACTGCAGGGAGGGTTTCAGAGCCTCCACTGCTTTCCCCACACCAGCAGCCTTTCCCTGGGTTCTGCACCACCTCTGCCGTGGTTCTGCCCTGGGAGATGCTGCCTGGCCACCACAGGGACCCCGGTGGTGTCCCTGCAACACACTCAAACTCTGAGGTGCTTGCTCTCTGGACCACCGCTAGTTGCTTCCTGAATGCTGGTTAGAACAGGAGATACAACCTAACAGGGTTTGCAATGCTCCAGGGGATTTTTTTCCCCCTAGAGCAATTATGGGCGGCTTTCCCATTTAATAGATGTTCCCTCCAGGTGAGTCTAATTTTACCCTTATGGAAAGAAGATGAGATCTAAAGAGCTTTCGGTTTTTTTTTTTTTTTTTTTTTTTTTTTTTTTTTTTTTTTTTTTTTTTTGTGTGTGTGTGTGTGTGTGTGTGTGTGTGTAAGAGAAATTATTAGTATTTTTCAAGACCTTCAATTCCTCCCTTGTCTCATCCCAAGACGTCTGTTCCTTAAATTGGGCTTCATGGCCAAGAAGGGAACTGACCCTGACTGAACGATGTTTTCATACAGTGGCCATGCCATTGGGGCAGAGGGTTTTGTCTCGCCTGCATCCACCTCAGGAAAATTCTTCCCTGCCCCTCAGGACTCCAATCTCAGCTGTCCCCAGGCCACAAGATTCCACAGGAATCTTTTTCTGCCCATTTTCCTCATAGTATTTTTGCTCGACTCCCATTCTTCCCCAGGAGTCTGCATTCAGAGTCCCAAGAACACAGTTCCTCTGTCTTGTTGCTTTTCTACCTTACCCTAAATTTCTTCCTATACTATATTCCTATACTTAACCCCATATTCTTTCCTAATTTTGATAGAAATTGAGAGAGAGAGAGAGAGAGAGAGAGAGAGAGAGAGAGAGAGAGAGAGACACACCTAGGCAGGGAGATACTCACTACAGCCTAATTTCTCACTTCGGCTTTTCTTTCAACTGCTTTGCTTCACCTATATACAATTTTCCTCCCGAAAATAGGCTTTTGTCACCTTTACTTTTAATTCATTCATTTATTTCAATGCCCCCAACCTCCTTTCACCAAGTCCCTAGTCAAGTCCCTAGTTCTGGAGCCATCTGTGAGAGGCCAGCTCCCACTTTTTCCTAAGGTACTCTTGAGAAGAGAGGGATAAGAAATACTTAGAAAGATAGTGTGGAGAAGACACAGACAGAAACACAGGATAGCTTTGGGAGGGCCTGGATCATTATCCACTGATTCCTTCAGTCTCTTCAAAATGGCCTTTTATAGGAATGCCAAGGGCAAAAGACCTCCCCCCTAGCACAGCCAAGTGTAGACCCTTCCAAACACCTGGTACCCACACACGTGGTCAAGCCATCCATTAATGTAGCCCTGCTGGGTAAAGCAAGCTCAGATCTTACTAGGAAACCTCTGTGGGCCCCACAGGGACCTCAAGAAACTGAAAAGCTTCTGTAAGGCAAAGGACACCGTCAAATGGATAAAGTGGCAGCCTACAGTATGGGAAAAGATTTTACCAACTCCACATCCAATAGAAGACTAATATCCAAAATATATAAAGAACTCATGAAACTAGATATCAAGAAACCAAATAATACAATTAAAACGGAGGCACGGATCTAAACAGAGAATTCTTGATAGAGGAATCTAAAATAGATGAGAAACATTTAAAGAAATGTTCAATGTCCTTAGCCACCAGGGAAATGCAAATTAAAACAACTTTGAGATTCCACCTTATACCTGTCAGAATGGCTAAGGTTCACAACACAAGTGGCAGCTCATGCTGGCAAGGATGTGGAGCAAGGGGAACACTCCTCCATTGCTGGTGGGAGTGCAAACTAGTACAGCCACTATAGAAAATCAATATGGAGTCTCCTCAGAAAATTGGGAATCCATCTGCTTCAAGACCCAGTTATCTCACCCTTGGGCACACACCCAAAGGGTGCTCCATCCTATCAGGACACCTGCCCAACCATGTTCATTGCTGCTCTATTCATAATAGCCAGAGACTGCAAACAACCTGGATGTCCCTCAACAGAAGAATGGATAAAGAAATTGTAGTACATTCACACAATGGAGTATTACTCAGCTGGAAAAAAGGAAATTCACACATTTACAGGAAATGGAAGGAACTAGAAAAAAATCATGTTGAGTTAGGTAACCCAGACCCCGAAAGACAAATATGGCATTTAGGTATTTATTCACTTGTAAGTGGATATTAGCGGTTAAATCAACGATAACCAAGCTACAGTCCATAGACCCATAGGGTTTTAGGTAAAGAGGAATGGTCTGGGAGGATATATGGATCTCCCCGGGAAGAGGAAATCAAGTAGGTATTGTGAGTGGACTGGGGTGGGTGGGGTGGGTTTGAGAGGGAGAAGGTGGGGGGATGAGATGGAAGGAGAGAGTTTGGAAGAGATGGCTTGAATTGTGGGGCATTTGGGGTGTGTGTGTGAAATTCTAGGGCAGTTGGGAGCTTCCTGGAATCTATGAAGGTGGTCCTAATGAGGACTCATATCAGTGGGGGATATGGAGTCTCAACGGGCCATATCTTGTAGCCAGGCAAGGCTTCTCACAGAGGGACTAGGGGGTAGGTTACATTCAATTGAGTTGTTCACCAAAGGGGTCTTGTGGAAATCCCAAAACTACCCAGGCTGATGCTAAGACAAAGGGTTTTTTCTCTCTGCAAACTGACAGCGGGGGCCCCAGTGCTGAGGACAACACCCACACAACTCATTGAACATGGAACAGTGGAGTTGGTGCCCACATGGAGCCTCCACACCTATGCTCTAGTCTCTTTGGTGCTGAAAGGTACTCTGTGGGCCAACCTAGCCACAAAACATTTGACCGACAATCTGTCCTGCCTGCAAGATGTGCTAGGCCAAAGGTAGCGCAGAACTTGTGGGAGTAGACAACCAATGTCTGATTTGACTTATGCCCCCCTCCATGAGAAGGAACCTATACCCAACACTGCTTGGGTAACCAAGAATTGGAGACTAGATAGCCCAGAGACCTGGGGTACAGCCAAACAGGACTGGTAAAACAAACAAACAAAACAAACCCCAAACAACAACAAACAAAAAACCAAACCAAGTAACCAACCAAACAAACAAACAAAACCAATGAAATGACTCCTAATGATATTCTGCTGTACTCATAGGTTAGTGCCTTGTTCAGTCATCATCAGAGAGGGTTCCTCTAGCACCAGAAGGGAACAGATGCAGAGACCCATAGCCAGACATTATGCAGAGAGTTTAAATTGGAGTTCTCCATCAAACACCTCCCCTAAGAGCTCAGGGAATCCTGTGAGAGAGGAGGTGGAAAGATTGGAAGAGTCGGAGAGAATGGCCCTCTGAATCAACTAAGCAAGGCACATATGAGCTCATAGAGACTGAAGCACCAAGCACAGGACCCACACAGGTCTGCAGCAGGTCCTCTGCATATAGGCTATAGCTATTAGCTTAGTATTTTTGTGGGACTCCTGATTGTGAGAAAGAGTGGGTCTCTGACTCTTGTGCCTGCTCTTGGGACTCTTCCTGTTGGGTTGCTGTGTCCAAACATCGATATGAAAGTTTTTGACTCATCTACATTTTATTTTGTCACATTTGGTTGTTATTGATTAGAATTCTTTTTTTTTTTTTTTTCCTAAAGAGACAGAAGGGGAGTGGATTAGGAAGAGATTAGATGTGGGGAGGAACTGAGAGGAGTGAATGGAGGGGAAACTATAATCAGGATATATTGTATGACAAAAGAATCCATTTTCTTTCTTTCTTTTTTTTTTCTTTTTTTCTTTTTTTTTTGGTTTTTCGAGACAGGGTTTCTCTGTGTAGCTTTGCGCCTTTCCTGGAACTCACTCTGTAGCCCAGGCTGGCCTGGAACTCACAGAGATCCACCTGCCTCTGCCTCCCGAGTGCTGGGATTAAAGGCGTGCGCCACCACCGCCTGGCTGCGCCACCACCGCCCGGCTGCGCCACCACCGCCCGGCTGCGCCACCACCGCCCGGCTGTGCCACCACCGCCCGGCTGCTCCGGACTCTTAAGATCTGGGATGCGCATAGATGGCTCTCTCTCTTCATCTCCTCGTGGTATTGGATGCTGAGATCTTGGACCAGGCAAATCAGTGTGGGACATAGCTCAGCTGTCCCAGACCCTACGATTAATCTCCCATGGTAGTGAGTTAACCCCAAATAAAATCCCTTTGCTCATTTAAATGGGCTCGGTGGAGTTCTCACATTAATACTCAGCTCAACTAGGACTTTCTTCTAGATTTTTTTCCCTCTGGCTTTCCCAGTCATGGAAAGTTGAAAGCTAGTCACTGGAGAGTGTGAAGCATTTAGATTTCGCTTTTAGCACTTGAAAATTTCCTCAGTCATTTTACTCCCCATTAACAAAAAAGTCACTTTACCAATGGGATAGGAAAATAAGCCAATAGAATTCTATCATCTATTGAGAGCTTACCCATAGCTTGGAGAGTACTGGAGGGCTCTTCGGATCACATCTCCTTCAAATTGGATGGTGTTTCCATTTTCCACAGTGAAAGTAGCCTCCTTAAAAGGGAACAAGCCCGGGTTTGGAGATCCAGGAGCCAGAGAGATGAGGGTTTTTGGTGCCTTGCTCATTATCTCAACTATAATAAAGACGGAGAAAGAAGTAAAAAAAAAAATATGTCTACTGAAGCATTTTATAAACAGACAGTTCAGTATGCGTTATAGTCAGCTATCATGTTTTACAACTTCTAGTGATAGAATGTGCTGTGTGGCCTGAATGTGGGTGTCTCTGACCAATTCTTAAATTAGAATCTAGTACTCGATACGGTAGATTAAAGATGGGATCAGATCAAGATAACTCTGCCCTCAGACATGGACTTGGTGTTCTTACGAAAGAGGCCGAGCTGCAGCAACAAGCAGCAGCAGCAGCATCTATCGGGAATTGTCCTCTTTGGGTACCTGATGTGGGACTTCCCAGCCTCCGGAACCGAGAGAAGAACCTCCTCGCTATTTCAGCTCCTCCAACACCCCAGCGAAAGTACTCACTGCCTTGCCTTGCCTCAGCCCAAGTTGCTAGTGAACAAAAAGTTCTGTGTTCCTCCTTCCATTAATGCTCACGGACTGCCTTCACACTTGAACGAATGGGTGCAACCTAGCGGTGACCGCCGGCCACCAACAGTGCGACAGTGCACCGTGCGGAGCTTCTGGCTTTGGTTTTCACCTGTTCCTCTGATGGGGGAAGGCTTTCTGGAAAGGCTGGTTGCCGTGAGGAACCGTGAGTAATTCATGTCTCTCTGCTTGTCGCGTGGCACAGGACTAGGGAAGCCGGTCACTGAGTGCGACCTCCCCGGGGCTCAGGGAGGCACCCAACCTGCCTGGCTTCGGGGCTTCCTCCGGTGTCGCCTGAGAGCTAAATAGGCCCGGGCCAGGCAGCAGCAGGGACAAAGTCCATCTGCAGAGGGGATGGGCACCGTGGCCGATGCGGGTAGCCCGCAGTAGGCCACGCCCTCTCCCACCCCGTGCCCCGGCCTATGGCAGCCGACCGCAGGGCGTGGCCCTACAGCAGTGCACCGGCCAAATTGGACGTGTCGGGATGAGAAAGGCCAAGGCCCCGCAGGGATGCACAAACGCCACAGGGATTAGTGCCCGAATGCACACGAAGGCAGCGTGGACTCCTGACCTGGCAGCGCGGAGTCACGCAACGCAGAGCGGCCGTTGGACAAGGTGTGGCCTGTCAGATCTTTGAAATGAGCCCCTGGCACCGGACCTGATCTCAGGATCCTGGTCCTTCCGTGCCATCTGGTGGTGGCTTTGTTCCATTGCAGCGGCTACTGTAAGAGGCGCTCAGCCTGGTATCTCCATACCAAGGCTGTGCTAAATTCTCATTCTCTCTCTCTCTCTCTCATTCTCTCATTCTCTCTCTCTCTCATTCTCTCATTCTCTCTCTCTCTCATTCTC